ACTGTAGTTGAAGGCATGTCTGTGAGTGCATGTTTGGTGATTGGAAGAGACTCTCAAAAAGTCTGTGTTAAAGAAGATAAATACCTGATCCCTATTTCCACTGCTATCATATTTTTTTGGTCTCAATAGTAACTTGTTATTCAGCAAGAACTGTTCTATACATGGGAAAGAAAATGAAACTAATTTGAAGAGATTTTCATCTTTCCTTAACCACTTACGTTAAGGTGGTTTGAACTGTTTATTGTGAGCTCGCCTCTTGACAGATAATTTTAAGGATCACAACTAAGATCTGATCTGAGACTGTGGAACATGTTGCAGAAAAAGGGATTCCGGAGGTTTATGCAGCCCAATGCATCGCCTGGGGTGGCAGCAGCAGGTTTATCCATGCCCCCCCCCCCAGTCGTTTACCCATGATCATCAGAGGACTTTTGGTGTGTTTCATGTGTTGCCCATGCTTTAGTTCCGTCTTTGACACACATCGGTTGAGAACTAGAATTCTCAATTTGCGCTTGTTTTCGCCTCTGCCTGCAGCCGGCCTCTTCCTCTAATGCAGCATGTCCATTAAGCCCCTGTACTTGCATGCAGGGTCTACTTCCATGTTAGAATTCAATTTTAATAAATAAAGTGTTGCATTTTTGGTTTTTATCTTAGGAACATCCATAAACTAGCCTAATAGGAACTACTTCTCTTCTCTGGAATCCTTTGGTTCTACATGTGTTCTGAGTATGGTATTTCTGCCTCCGGCTGTGGGACCTTCCTCTTGTTGGTTTTGTAACCCGTCTGTGTCTCAGTTTCCTCATCTATTGAAAGAGCAAGTACCTTTGTCACAAGAGGGGTGCAAATAGATGGCATCACTTGTAACCTGCCTATAGTAGTGCCTGATGCAGAGCTCACTGCGAAGGTAGGGTTCAATTATTTTATGTTCTTTATTCTTATCCCCCAGCAGGGCATCAACGTGGGGATGGGTTATTCAACTAGCAAAGATTAGCCCTTCCTTGCTCAAAGCTACCTTCAGTAGTCCTCTCTTCCAGCCTTCCCACTCTGGTGCATTCCTACACTAGTTCTTCTTCATGTATCTTCAAATCCTGCAAAAAAATTCTTAATGCTCATCTAATCAAATTTTTTTTAAAGTGGGAGAAGCCTCTTTGTTGTCCCTGCTTTTCTTAAAGCCAGCATCTGACTCCTCCTTTTTTTAGCCAAATAAACATCTTTGAAAGAGTCACTAGTTCTACTTTAGTCCCTCTACCCAGTGGTCCATAGTTGCTTACCAACCAACACTTCATCCTACTATTCTCTTGACTTCACTATTTTAAACAGCCTTTTTAAAAAACTCAGTCTTTATATCTATGAATAAGGATATTCTGAATGGTGTTGAATTGCAGAACCATAAATATGCAATGCAAGCCACATACGTGATTCTAAAAGTTCTAGTAGCCACATTAAAAAAGTAAAATGCCTCATAAAAAAGTGAAAAGCAATAGTATATTGTGTGTAATCCAACATATCCAAAATAGTATTTGAGCTTTTAATCAATATGAACATTCTTAATAAGATATTTTTATTATTTTTTAATACTAAGACTATGCCCTGACCAGTGTGGCGCAGTTGGTTGGGCCTCATCCCACAAACCAAAAGACTGCAGGTTTGATTCCCGGGCAGGGCACATGCTTGTGTCGTGGGTTCAGTCCCCAGTTGGGAGCATGTGAGAGGCAACTGACTGATGTTTCTCTCCTTCTCTTTCTCCCTCCCTTTCCCTCTTTCTAAAAATAAATAAAATCTTTTTAAAAAGTACTAAGACTATGAAATCTGCTGTGTGTTTTGTACTTAGAGTCCATCTCAATTTGGACTTGTGACATTCCAAGTACCCAACAGCTATGCTGTGGTTAGTGGCTACCATACAGGACAGTGCAGGTCTGTGCCGTCTGGCTGAGTGTTTCTGGCGCCTCTCTTTGACATCCAGGGCAGCTACTGCTTCTCCCTTGTATCTTTGCTGATTTTCCTTTCCTTCCTCTCTGTCTTCCTTCATCCTTGGATAGGTGTTCCCCTTCCCCTACAAAAAAAGGTCTGCCCCAGTCCTTCTCTATCATTGTTTCATCTCCTCTGGGCACTGAGTACCTAGCATGTCACGTCAAATTGGCGGGATGACCATGAACACAACACTTATCGTCAGGCTGAAAAATGGGACCTGGAAGGAAGGAAAATGTTCTCACGTCCCCCTTAAACCAGCATTCCCTAGACCTGATTTCCAGTGCATACTCTGAATGTTTTTTGTTCTTCCCTTCTTTCCACACTGCCCACAAAACCCTCAGCTCCTGTTTTCACCCTCTGCAAGGACCCTCTGCATGTTCTGCAGAATGTCCTGATGCATCACTTACTGTACTTGTCACTCAGGCTTTCAGACAGCAGCTGATATAATTTCAATGCTTAAAAAAGTGCTCTTGGAATATCTGTGCAGCTGTCTGCAGTAGGTACATGCAGGACGCAGTGAGTGATTTACTGGCTGGCAGAACGTGGTCGACATGCTCTCGGTCAGTTAGGCTGTTGTGTTTTTACATCAGAAGGCCTCCGAGAGCCTATCTGCATGCATCCCGCAGCACACTCCGTACATCGGACCTAAGAGGCTGCCCCTGTGCGTGACTGCCTCATGATGAGGTGTCACACCCACACCGTGAGCTACTCACTTCTCAGTTTATGCCAACTTGTTTTTATGGTTTTTTCCCAGAGTGAATCCGGTAGTAAAATGTCTGGCTCTACAGAGTCCGCTTACTTCCTCAGGCAGGTATGAGATCGGGAAGCGTGGACCATCGCCATAGATGTTTCACTTCCTTCTCTTACGAGGAATGGTACTGCCATACGGGAATAGTATTCTTTGGGGGCTGAAATAGTATTTGCCAAATGTAGGGATGAGGTCAGTAGATACCTTTTAAAAATCAAACAACACATTCCTTTCCTGCTTTCATCACCGCTCGCATGTGCTAGATGGCAAGTCTTTGACTCACGAAACTAAATAGGATTATCTGAGGGGCAGGCCGCTCACCTGTTTTTAGAGATTAACAAACACCTGTTTGGACCCAGTTTTTGTTCACTCAGATTCTATATTAACTTTCCCTATTAAAGCATTCTTGAGATTTCTGAGTTCCTCCCAGTTTAGCTAATAATAAATAAAAGTTACTCCCAATACTTAATGAACTAAATGATCTCTGAAAGTTAGTTATGTTCATGATTCCTTTTTCTTTGATGAAACCCTTAAAATCATTCCTCTAGTTGTGTTTTTATGTAAGAAATTAAACACAACTGCACCATTTGGGAGAAATTATTTGTGAAAAGTTAAATAAATGAATACATTTTATAACTCAGTAAAATTCTGCGTGTTCAAATATGTGCACCGTACATATCGTCTAGTTCAAATTGGGATTCCAGAAAGACACACTATCTTCAAATAATAGTAAATGCATAAACATTATACTTTAGATATGGTGACTGGCTAATGTTTGTATTCTACTACAGATTACCAAGCATTATACAGAAAATGAGATGTGCTTCACGTGAAGACTGCTACAGGGTCGCCATTATTTTTTTCTTTGCAATGATAGTGGCCTATAATGATGATTAACAAAGATTTCCAATTAGTAGCAAGCCAGAGAAGCCCTCTTACCCCATGTTTTACTGCCTATTTCATGCTGGATAATGCTAAACATCAGTATAGGCCACTTGGGGTCATAACCAGCTTTGGGTTATCAGCCCTGTAATGGTAGAGGAATGGCCTATTCTGGCAGCCCTTAGCGCAACTTCTGTGGGTACATGTACATTTATTGTGTGGAGCTTCAGGACGAACCCAGTTCTCTCCTTAGCCACCAACTTCAAACGTTTCTTCATTATAGAAGTTCAGAGAAATACTGGGGCTGTTATAGGCGAGATGATCTAGGCTGGAGAAAAACATAGGACTGGACTGTCAGGATTAAGTTTTCAGGTTTGAAGTAATTCCCCCTCGTGCCCAGGTCTGTAAGACTTTAAGTTACCCAAGGATGGCAGCAGGTCTCAGTGGAAAGAGCATGGACTTTAACAATGTAGGTTTGGGCACAAATCCTGGTTCTGTCTCTTACTATGTGGTCCTGGATAAGCTACTTAAACTCTCCTCATCTCTACAATGATGATGTTATACATGTTATAGAGTTGTTGAGAGAAATAGAGATGATGCCCAAAAAGCAACTAGCAAATGATTTAGCATGTAGTGGACTCTCAGGGGTCAGTAGCGTTGGTGTGATCATGCACTAATGCAGTATAGGATTTGAGAGTGAAAATCCGTCCCCTTTAATTTGGGTAAGGAATCTGCAGCCAGAAACTTCGTGTCATTAGTTCAATGTCAACTTAAGTCATCATTTAAAAATGTTCTACTTCTTTCAAGCCCTTTGCTATTGTTTCAATACTGTGTAAGACACGTATTGTAAATCAAGCCTAAATGAATGTGAGTCATGCACCATTTACAATGTCAACAGAATTTTAATAATTTCGTCATTTATTTTCCAAATACAAATTTCCAGCAGTTGCAGCAAATAATATTTTTGCATTATCTTTTTATAGTAGAAATATAATGCTACATATGCTGCTTAATATCTTTATAGGGGTCTATGTAACTGTTTTCAGATTCACATTCTTATCCAGGGAAAGGATTTATTTATTAAAGTATGCATGATTTATAGACTGTGTGGGAATCTATTTTGGTTCTTCTTAGGAGAATTTTGAATAATTCCATTTATGTTGTGTAATCTGAACTGATATATTGTTTTCCTGCTTTACAGAGATTATTTTGTTTTTTTCTCTCTTAAGCATGTAGAGGTTGAAGAAAAAAAATAAAAACCCCACCATAATTAGTCAATATATAAGATGGGTTTATATAAAGAGAGACTGAAGTAGCTTAAATTTCAAAAGGTTAAGGAAATAGTTCTGAATTTTTACTCAGTATTCTAATCATTTGAAATTTGGTCTCTGTTGCTTCCTAGGTTACTTGTTGGTTTCAGAAAACCATAAGAGATTTACGGGAACAAAGCCTAGGTTCATCACTTTCAGACAATGAGGAGCTAATCCATAAGCATGAGGAACTGAAAATAAAAGCAAAGGTAAGAGACACATTAAAGAAATAATTGAGCCCTGGCCCAGGGTAGCTCAGTTGCTTAGAGCATCATCCCAATATGCCAAGGTTGCAGGTTCAGTCCCTGGTCAGGGCACATACAAGAAGCAACCAATGAATGCCCAAGTAAGTGAAATAACAAATCGTTTCTTTCTCTTTTCTCCCTTCTTCTTGCTCTTTCTCTAATTTAATACTCATCTAAATTAGAGGAATATCAAAAACTCCATTTGAATAATCCACCATTTACATTGAAAAGATTCTGGTAGCAGTAGCTAATACCACTGCCCACTGACTGTTCTTCTAGAATAATAATGGACAGAACAACAGCTTTTACAATAACTATCTGTTTTAAATAGTTACTATGTGTCAGACATTGCATTTAGTATAAGAGACGCATTACCTAAATTACTGCAAACCCCCTGAGTAGTAGGTATTGTTTTCCCCATTTTACAGGTCAAAACAAGTAAACTAAAAACAGAGCTTGGAGAAGCAAGGTGACCTCACCATGTAATATATCTTGTCAGTGGCAGAGTCGGAATCTGATTACAAAGCTTACCTAACTCCAAGATCCAAGCTCTTAAACACTATCCTCCTCAAGCTTTCTAAAAAAAAATGCTTTTCTACACTGAGGTCTCATGATACGATCACTTTTATGATTTCCAAGGTATCATTTACTTACTGTTCTCATTTATATTTCCCTAGTTCCTTAATTTCCTTTTTTAGTTTTGCACAAATTAATGGCTGCCAGCTGGGCGACCACTTGCGGGTGTTTGAACGTGCAAAATGGAACCACAAGGTGCTGAAGTCCAGAGGGGCAGGGCACCACATATAGTGTCCGCTAAGCATTGTGTCCGGTTGTTCGGAAATGGACTCATTTGTACGCGCGGGGTTTATTAGTACTTTCTAAAGTTCTTTACAGGTGCTCCATGTTGGTCTGCAAGAAAACAAAACTCTATTTGGAGTAGATTGAGTGGGAACAGGGAAGACTTTAATCAACATCAAGGCTTGGGGAACTTTCTGTTATTAATGTCTTGGGTGACTGATAGTTGCAGGTACAGCTACGTCGAGAAGCTCTGGAAAACAGTGGGTCTACTCTACTAGACAATGGGTGAAATAAGGAAGACAAACCAAATAAGTATTACGTGTTTGGGAAGATGGGATTTGGGTGAAGACAGAAAGGCAGCGGGCTGCATTTATCTAGACTGAAATCTTCTCGTAAGGGTCGTGCCGCCTTTGTTTGGTGTTGCTTCTCTTTGCACACTGCAGTACACATAAGTATTCACGGCGCTGGCTTTGAGTATTTGCCAGACTGATGGAACGTGCAGTTACAAAGACCATTATGACTGATGATTTTTTAAGTTCTTTAAAAATTTTTAGCATTTTGTTTACTTATGAATTTTTTAAAATTATCGAACAATTTATTTCCTGTGTGTTAAACAAGTTTTATCAGTGAAAATTCTATCAAAATCCCTAAGTCGTAAGCACAAGAAACAACCTGAACTGCATAAGGTAGTTGTTTCCTTTAAAACAAACAAAGCAAAATGGAATATTCACATAATTTATACATTCTATGAACTCACAGTTTCTCACAGCCCTGAGGACAGTTGGAGTAGAATATTTGTTAACAAATAACCTCAGTTCTAGTAGGACACAGATTTGTTTGTTTTTTCTGATTCATAACAGGAAAACATACATTTTAATAATTGTGTGATGAGAAGTTTCTTATGTACATATTACAGATTAAATATGTGGAGTTTAGGTGTTAGGCACATAGATAGGTAATTGTAACTTTATTGTCATTAAAAGATTTTTAATCGCATTCATGCTTCTGTCCACATACTGAAATATGGACAAAATAATGAAGTTAGATCTTTCTCTTTTTTAAAAATTTATTTAATTATTGTTGAGTGAAATAAGCCAGGTGTTGAAAGACAAATACCATATGATCTCACCTTTAACAGGAAGCTAAACAACAAAACAAACAAGCAAGCAAAATAAAAACAAAGACACTGAAATAGAGAACAGGGGGAAAGAGGGGAGAGGGGTGGGAATTTCAGGGGAAAAAGGGCAAGGATTTACAAGAACAAGTATAAAGGACACATGGACAACAACTAAGGGGGGTGGAAATGGGAGGGAGGTGGGGAGCACTGGGGGGGTGGGCTGTGCTGGGAGTAAAAATAGACCACAGTTTTTATCACAGTTGACAGTTCACATTCACAGTGTTGATAGCCATAGATAGAAAAGTACAGATACCCTTTTCACCATTATCCCAATCTTGCAGACATAAGGGGTTTAAGAAGTAAGTTTTGAATCATAAATATTTTATTATAGAAAAGTCCTCACAGAAAATTTCTAAACTACAAGGAAAATAGAAGTGAGTCATTTGAACCAAAGATAATTATTATTAAAATAACCGTTCTCAATATTGTTGTACATTTCCTTTTAGTCTTTTCATCCACAAATCTATAAACACATAGTATTGGAATTGTGCTTTTTTATTTTTACCTTTATCATAATATTTTTTCTGTGTGACCTTTTACTGCAAAGTGCTTCATTACATGGATGAATTCATATTGCAGGATTATGCATTTTGATTGTGTGAATACCAAGCAAATACTATTTTTTAAAAAGGGTACAAATTCCTGATAAACACCATTATGTTCCAGACGAGTCAGCTGCTTTCTTTCGGGGCCCCGAGCCACTCAGAAGCCAGTCACAAATCCCATAGGGAAGCTGACTATCAAGGACCACTCAAAAAAGTAGTTTTTGAGCTGAACTGGTTTTGGCAACTGAGGAGGAGAAAAACTATTTCTCTATGTCATCCTTGAGAATAAATTTATTTTCTTAAAAGATTGGTATCAGTTTGCTTTGCTGGGGGTTCCTGTTGTATTACTTACCTTGAGGTATTCTTTTTTTTCTTTAACTTAAAAAAAAATTTTATTTATTTATTTTTAGAGAGAGGGGAAGGAGGGATTAAGAGAGGGAGAGAAACATCAATGCGTGGTTGCCTCTTGAGCACCCCCTACTGGGGACCTGGCCCGAAACCCAGGTGTGTTCCCCAACTGGGAATTGACCTTTTGGTTCACAGGCTGGCACTCAATCCACTGAGCCACACTGGCCAGGGCTTGAAGCATTCTTTATGGGATAAGATTTCCCATCTAAACTGTGGTTCTAGCCAGTGGAGCCCCCAATCTTGGTATCATTTTTAAAGATTACCAAAATATCAAATAGTTATTTAGATTAGGTCAACCCAATAGAGATGAATACTCAAAGACAACTAGTTGCTAAAAGGGTTTAAGATTTGCCATCACTTGAGGCACTCAGTAATCCCATGGCAAGATAACTGGTTATTCAAGGCAGCAGCATATCATACCTGAATCATATGGGTTGAGAGGGTCCCCATGAAGGTGAATGGCCCTGTACTCTGGGGTGATTGAGGATGGCTTCCAGAAGAGCGGGGTTTGAGTGGATGGACGAGCAGTTGGGCAGGAGAGGACGGTTGTTTCAGCATAGGGCAAATAATGATCAGATCAGTTTATCTATGACAAGAGTTGAAAGTCCTAGCAATGTTTAACCCAGAGAAGAGAGGCTAAGGGGAGTCGTGTCAGAGGTGATACTTACCCACAGCGATTCCATTGGAAAGAAATGCTAACCATGCGTGATCAATATGGGGAAGGGAACTTCCTGAGGCTGTGGAAGGTGGGCACAGGTGACCTCCAAACTCCCTTTGTTTCCGATTCCACAAAGAAGACAGGGTTCAGATGACATTATCAATTCTTGTTATATTTAAAGCAACATTATAAAAAACACATTTTCAGAGCTGGCCAAAAGGAGTGGAACTAGATTGGGGAAACAATAACATTTGTGAACAGTGGAGACTGTATAAAAAGCACATTTTATTCATGTCTACTAAGCCCGTTTAACTGTGAAGAAGAAAGAAACATTCTTTTTAGTCTCTTTCTAGATTCTCTGGTGACTTTAGAAAATTGCTTAGTCTCCTTTTGCCTATCTGCCCACTCATTATATTTATCTTTATCTTTAAATAATTTGGCCCCCAGAGTGGAATTACACAAACTCTTAATTCATCACAAATCTCTGGCTTCGTCATTATCTTGCTTTATTTTATTTTCCCTTCATTCTCTATGCCCCTCACATTCCTATTCTCACAGGTACCCACTCTAATAATGGATTCAACATGCGTTTTTAGACATATTCCCGTTCCTGAAACAAGTCACAGTTATATGTTTTCAGTTTGTGTAAGTGGTGCTAAGGCAAAGACCTTACCGTGATTCTTCCTACCACACTACTCATATCTAGTTATCAGTCCTTGTGTTCTCACTGCGGTCCTCCCTAGATGTGTGTAATTTTGGAGAGTTATGTTGCATAGATATTGGTGTTCTACCCTTCATAGTTTTCACTGACTCCCATTTCTTTATCGCTTCCTAATATCTGATCTTTTACTTCCCTGATTGTTCTACTGAACCCCTGCTCCTCAGCCCTCTTGCCAATTTCTTCACTTTGGTGATTATCTTTGTATGCCCAGTACCTCACAGTGACTCTTTTTCATAACTGTCATTTTCCTGCTTCTTCTGTCCGATGTCCTTCCTTATACCTTAAAGTATACTTTACTTATATATTAAATTTTGGGTCCTTCCAGTGCATTAGCTCTGTTTCCCCCGATCGAGGTATTCCAGTGTGTTACTTTTGCTCATCAGCTTTCATTTTCCTCTGTGAATTAATTAGTATTCCCTTGGTATGTCAGCAACTTCGACAGCTGAAGCCTGGGAGGGGTGGACACTGGCACTGTAACGTGTCCCTTTCTCGATGAGTTGCTGGGGCCCTGGGGCCCCTGAGTGCAGAGGTTCCTGTTGTTACAGCTAGGGTTCTACCATTCCCAGTTTGCCCTCCTACCCCAGGCACATAGGAAGGAGGGGACCCCTTGGAGGACCTACTGGGTTGCATCTCCATGGAGAAAAAGGTTGAAGTTCC